CAACGGAAAGATGAGACCCTCGACTTTTTTTGCCCTTTTTTTCTCCACCGCTCGTTAACGAAAAATATCTGTTGAAAAATCTTATCCCAAATTGTCAATAGGGGATAAGATTTTATAGCCCGTCCTGATCAAATAAATCATTAAATTCAAATTAAAAATGAGAAGTCGTTAAGAGAATTGCAGGAGCGGAGAGTTACCGATTTTTTACGAGTTTTGGACGAACTTTGAAGAAAATAAAGAAAATCACAAATAACGAATAGCTAAAACCGCGAAAAATGAGGAATAAAATTGCTACGGTCATTTAACAAGGATTATTGGCAATTTATTAAATCTATTGAAGCTTTGAGATTATTTAACGGAAATTTATGGAGATCTTAATTACGCGGGTAATGAGTGAAGTCCGAGTGTTTTTCTGATCCGTTGAGCCGTCATAAAGTCTTCGAGATTATCCGTATGACGGAATTTCATGGGTGAGCCTCTGGATATGTATGAGGCGAGCACTTGAGCATGAAAGAGATTTTTCAAAGCCATGGGAAGGGTAGAGATTGTTCTGGCATTCCTTCGTGGGAGAATCGTAATCAGTGCTCTGCGTTTGGATTTATCTCATAATTATGAAGATCATACGAAAGGGGAGGATTATTTTGAGATATCAGGGGGGCTTTTTTTGAGCACGTGGTACGCTCCTGTGAATAGGTGCACGATGGCGTCACCAATGAGCGTCCAAGGCGTCCACCCCGTGTACTCCAAACTCCTGACCAGGTGCGCCCAACACTTAGATACGCTCAGCTGGATGAGAATATACCCTATTTTCCAAAATTCAATATTTCATCCGTTGGGTGGGCAGAACATCGTGTACACCATTTGCTCATTGCCATTGAAAAATTATTCTATCATCCCCTTTGCCATTTTTCTCATTTTTTTTCCTTTTGGTACTCCCAGATTTTGGAATTTCACAAATATCAATCATGAGTTCTCAAATATTTCAAAGTCAACATTTCATTCATTTATTTATTATATTAACAAAAATTCTCACCGTTTTTCGTTTCAAATTCGAATCGAATGCAATTTTTTCAATATTTTTTCAATATTTTTCCTTAACAAAAATTTAAGATATATTGGACAGTAATTTCTAAATCTATCATTATTCCAAGTGTTTCCTTGTACATTAAATTCTCCTTTTTTTAATGCAGTTAAAATATTCGTACACTAAATCTGATTTTGATTTTCTTTTTCTCCACACAGAATAAATGCTTTTCCTGATGAGAGACAGCTTGTAGCTGCGAAACCGTCAATAGAAAGAAAAGATAAAATTAAATTTTTCTTTTGATCTGTCCATTTCATTTGCATAGTATTTAAAATGCCATAGTTGACCGTAAATACCTGAGGACTTTTCCAAATTCGAGACGGTTGAATAAATTAAACGTAAATTCGGTGAGAGTTTCTCCGACCTGATGAAAGCCGAACCAGATATAGTAAAATGCAGCTAACTAAAGAAAATGAGGAAAATGAGGAAAAATTCGAGGCCAATGGGATATCCCAAGGGAAAAGTGAAAATTTGAAGAGGCATTGCGCATCAATAGAACGAAAGAGCCGAGCACACCTCGGGCCTCCCCTCTCCTCGTAGATGTTGTCCCTCTTTCCCCTACCCGCGGATGTAGCACACACTGTAGTACAATCCCAAGGCCCCACCGGATACCGGTTAGGTTGAGCGTACGGTAGACCGTAGAATGCCTATCGGCAGGGACATTCCAGCGTGTCAGTCGTCACGAAGCCATTGACTAAACCATTTATCCCCAAAATAATGACACTATCACGTACCAGTACTTCCATTAATCACTAAAAATCCATGTGCGCATGTCTACGGATTAATAATCGGCGTGTAACACCGAGTGAAGTGATTGAGTTTCCGCATTTGACAGCCGGACCCATTCCGCTCCGGTTTTTGGGCCCGAGTTGCGCTTGGCGTTGCGACTGCGCGCGCACTCTCGCATTCGAACTGTTTGAATTGTTCTACGTTTCGGCATTTCATTGAGAGTTTATGTGATTCAGTGGGGATTTTTTTTTTTTTACTCTTTTGGGTTTTAGGGAGGGCCCTTTGGAATGTCACGAGATTTTTTAAGCTGTTCAGGATAAACATCTAGGGCGAGAGGATTAATATTCAATTCGAAACGCTCTTGGTGGGGTTCACGTTGCCCTAGGGAATGTGAAACGTCCTTGGATCTCGGGGATTTTTTATCACCTTGAGGGTTTTAGAGGGGATCTGCCAGGATGACTGTACCTGAGGAGTAAGTTTTCATTTTCTCAAGAATTTCAATTTTTTATGGAGGTTAAACGATTTTTTTAAGTGAGAAACCGATTATTTGTGAATTAATTCAAATTTCAATTTTGGACCAATGAAAATTGTCGGAATTAATCGTAATACCATTATTTATCATCCGAGAATTTATTTACCGCGTCATTTGTACGTCCGCGAATAATAAAAATAAAAATCGTAAACTCGTAAATTATTGATGAATTTGTCTAGAAAAAACTTTCCACCTCGCATATTCCACTTTTTATCGCGTGGAAAATTGGAGCGAAAAAGCAATTACCACGGGTAATTCAGATTCTAGAGCATAACCAACATTTCGTTTCACAATTGCACCTTCCATTCAGTTTTCTATTGCAAATATTATCGAATCCCATGGCTATTACTTCAATCGTTTCAATAAAAACCAAAAACCCACCGTTATTCAATGCATTTTACGAATGCCATTGATATTTTGGTCGGCGTCCGAAGAATTCTCGCTTATTCCCCCAAAAGTGTCAATAAAAACTAAAACCATCGGCATATCAGTATTTCGGGCATAATGAAGGCATTGAAATTTTCTGGATGAAGGAAACCGTTGTGCATCCCATCAAATAAAGCCGTTAACTCTGATTTTTTATTTAAACCCCTCGAGACGCCATCCACTTAATTACCCCCGATTTCATGACTCGATAATTGCGATTAAACCGACAAAATAAGCCATTGACGAAGGGAAAAATAATGGCCGAATCACGATACTCAAATCACCCTTAATTATCCAAGTTTTACACATTATAATCCCCCAAATCCCAGTCATGCATCATTAAAATATCCGGATGTGAATCTTTCAAGAGGCACGGAAGCAACAGGTGTCCGTTTGCGTTAATGCAATACTTGAGACACTGCCAGTTCAACCGGATGTAATGTTTTTGGACGATTACCGATCCATAAACAATGCACTTGCATTACGAAATCTCATTTTAATTGCGGGAACTATCCCACAGACTATTGAGCGCATTTAGAAGCCTCAAACAAGTAAAAATGCCAGATGAAAATTTTTTATTATTTGAAAAAACATCGCGATGACAATTCTAGTCAATAGACAATAAAAATTCGGGTTATTATACAAAAATTTGATAAATGGAGGTCACAGTAATGGGCATGTTTTCACGTACAGCAATATGATTGGCATTGGCAACATGCAGCTTTAATTATTATTTATAATTCCGGTGGTGTAAGCATGTAAAATACGTGTCTACACGCAGACAGGATGTAACCGACATTCCCGTGTTACTCACGAGTGAGTTATTTAGTTGTCGGTGGTGGTATCACAGCGATTGGTTGGGATGATACATCCGGACGACATACAGATGAATTCTCAGAAACACCCCTGGGGATACCTGAGATCCACTGCTCCGTTATGCCAAGATTAAAATGAGTCAACATGATTTTTCCATGACTACATGCAAAAAAAAATTTTAATCTGCACCTCAAACACGAGAATAAACCAATTATTTAATTTTCATAACTCCAATTTCGCATACCCGCCATAAATCAATTCATATACAACAAACTATTGATTTTACGAAAAAATATCAAGAGATCGTTTCCATCGGAAATTTAATGGGCTACAAAAACTTCCTTTGGTGTTTCTGTCTTAAATCCATAGTTTCGCAGATAAACCGGAATTTATAACGTTGTAAAATTGATGTTGCAATTGAATTGCAAAAATTCAGTTCTTTGTCATTTTATTTATGATTATTGGTTGTGAGTTTTATTTCTTTGTGGTGTAATTGACTCACCCGCGGGTTTGGTAAATGACTAAATCAAGTATCTAGTCTAATCCGTGATTATGGGGCAGAGCCAATGATACAAATATTGAATCGGGTGTGGCCCTAGTATTCATATTGTGTGCTAATGGAGATTGTACACGTATGTACGTTTACAATGGGGGGGATTTCGTGGGGATGAGATTGCACCCGGTGGGAATGACTTTTTGGTAGATCCGGTGAGTTTTATTCTCCAAGGGGTCAGCCCCATTGATATGCTAACGCCCCATTATTTTCGATGTTTGTGTCTATTCTTGATGGAGAGTTTATAAAAGAATAGCCGTTGCCCTTCATAAATATTATCAAGTGAATTCAAATCCCAACTAGAGATCCATAAAATACATGCTCCACGTGAATTAGGCCCTTGAAAAAATTTTTATCCCACAAAATTCCCGGGTACTTTATAAAATAAAAAAATTACCACTGAATATTAAAGAAAAAAATTACTGGTTCGAGGAAATCATAACGGAGAATTTTTTTTCTGCCGAAGGCATAATTTCCATGAATCTTTTTTAACGGGTAAATAAAAAGTTTAAGCGTTTGGGTGATATTCGAGGACTAGACTCGAAACGACAAGTGAATTGCCTGGAGAGTGTATTGTTCTGTATTTTCACCCCCAAGTGCCAAAATGTTGGAATGTTGGGTAAGGACCGCAGGGTAAAGCCCTCGTCCCCACAAATGACCTGCCCTTTTCACTTTAAGTGTTTTTACATCTCCTCCCACAAATTCCACTTGGAATATCCCCGCAGTTCAACTTATCCTCAACGACTCAATGTTTTTACCGATGTATTTTACTTGACGCGCTTCATCGTGAATTCATTCGAATTCTCCGAAATTTATGGTTTCCGGTTTGATGGTGTTCACTCATTTTCTTTTTCTTTCAGAATGGCTGCGGAAGCTGCTAACAAAAAGGCTGAACGAGAGGCACTCCGTGGGGTTATTCAACAATGGAATGCCAATCGTCTGGATCTCTTCGAACTGTCGGAACCCAACGAGGTAAGTTGATGAGATTAAGAGACCATTCAAAGATCAATATTTCCGAAACCTCTCAGTATCTATTTCAGACAGGAATTCCTGTCCAAATTCAAATTCCCGTTTATGCACTATTTTTTCTACGTCTGATCTTTCATCTGAGTCCAGACAAACATTTACGGAAAATTTATATCCCCGCAGGAATTCACCATCAACCATGATTTCCTGCGCAGGGAAATTTTCCAAATTTTCCTTCAAGCATAATTTATCAATGTCTGATCAAAATTCTGTGTCCAGGCAAAAAATTTATGGCAATTTTTACAACAGAGAAATTTAAGTCTGAACATTATTTTATGTTTTTTTTTGTCTGTCTAGATTAAACTAGATACCCAGGAATTCATTAAATAAAACAAAAGCATGAATTCCACTGGATAGATCGATTGAAATCCAGACAGAAATTCCTGTCTAGTCATAAAAATTATTGAAAATTATGAAAAAATGTATTTCCTCCTCAGGATTTGGAATTTCATGGTGTCATGAGATTTTACTTCCAAGACAGCGGCCAGAAAGTAGCAACAAAGTGCATTCGTGTGGCATCAGACGCAACGAGTCAGGCTGTGATCGAGACCCTTATCGAAAAATTTCGTCCTGATATGCGCATGTTATCAGTACCCGAATATGCACTGTACGAAATCCATGAGAATGGAGGTAAGTCGATTTCCCAGAGGTGAAATCAATTCAGTTAATACTTATGAATGATCGATAACTTCCTCTCGTTCAACAGAGGAGAGAAAGCTGGGACTCGAGGAGAAGCCACTGCTCGTTCAGTTAAATTGGCATATTGATGATCGCGAGGGGCGATTTCTGCTTCGTCGAATTGACGACAAAACCAATGCACAGGGGGTCGGTTTTGGCGAGGGCACCAGCTTCAGGCGGAAGTTGAGCAAAAGGGAGAAGAAACAGATGAAGAAACAGGAGAAACTTAGTCGACTCAAGACTGCTGAGCAGGATGAGACCACTCTGCCAGTCGATCAGAATGGTGTCGCTGAGAAACTTTATACTGGTGAGTCTTTCATTATTATTATTATATAAATTATTGCAGAACGAGGGGGACAGGGCGATTCCCATAAACGAATCACAGAAAATAACTTGACAACTCACAATTACTTATGAATTATTAAATTGGAACGAATCCTCAATTAATGTTTCAAAATTCGATTTTTTTTTTAAGATCTGACATTATTTAAAATCTTGAAAATCTAGGGATCGCTTCCACCTGTAAAAAAAATGGAAAGCCTTAGACATTTTCATTAATTCCTAGACCAGGAGGACATCGTCGAAAATTTGCCTAATATTCAGAATAAACAGCTATCGATTAGCCAGTTTGCGTTGCCAAGCTGCCACGTTAATCGATACGTCTTTAATCGAGAGCCACGAGCTGAAATTTCCCTCCGAAAATCCATCGTGATTCAAGGAAATGTCACAATTTATCTTTCAGAATTACCTGAGACGAGCTTTACCCGGAGCATATCAAATCCGGAAGCTGTGATGCGTCGACGTAGACAGCAAAAACTTGAGAGAAAACTGCAGCAATTTCGTAGTAAAGACGGTGGTCCCGATACCGGTGGTACATTAAAAATTTATGGTGAAGCCCTGTGCAAAGATGTGCCTTACAAGACCCTTTTGTTGAGTGTCAGGGACTCAGCGGCTCAGGTAGTCAGGGAGATGCTGTCTAAATACGGCCTCGACAAAGTTGATCCACAGCAGTATTGTCTAGTGCAGGTGAGCATTTCTCACGATTTTATTTTCAAACTAGAAACATTTGAATTTCAGCCAATTTATAACTCAGATTCCCCATTATTATCACTGAATAAAGTCATTATGATCTTGTTTCTTCCAATTACTTGGAATTCAATGGAAACTTTTTTCTTGTATTTGGATATTTTTTTGGGGGGAATTTCAATGAATTATGGATACAATATCTCGGTTTTTTGGGGAGTCGTGTTGAGTTACAGCGATTCAGTGGCTCCGGTTTTATATTTCAATGAGGGATTCAATTGTATATTTTTTGGGGATTCCTCCTCGACGTTTTGCCAATGAGCACGTGCTACTGGAGTCAATCGAGGATTTTATTCAGAGAATAGAGTGGTAATTGAATTCATATTCCGCATTGAATCTCAGTTCTCTGCTTCAATTTTTCTCGAAAAGGATTGATTTTTAGGAAAAATATCGGGATACCTCTTTTGAGGGAAATTTAATCAGCTACGAAAAACATCTCAACAGTTGTTCTCTGAAATCGATACTTTTCGAGATAGATCGATAATTGCGAAAAATAGTAAAAATGTTCAAAATAGAAAATTTTTGCGCGTGACTATTGGCTTATTGCCATACGATAATTTACGGCAATTGGCTTGGGTTTTCGTCGGTAATGCAGATGCTCCCGACGAAAATCTACCGTTGTTTTCCCTCCAGATCCCTGGAGGTCGGTAACAGCCACTCCTGCCCTCCACCAACAGCAAAAGAGGGACCTTTCCTCGACCCCTCAACTTCATTAAAAAATTAATAAATAATCTTTCACCAGGTCAATGGCGAGGCGACGAGCAGTAATGCCCACCAAGAATACATCCTCGATGACGACGAGTGTCCCCTAGCAATATTGATGAACCATCCCTCAACACGCGGTGAGTTAATGATCATTTAAATTCTTAACGCGACCAGAAGAAATTCTCGAAATTGCGCCTCAAATTGCGTTAATGACTCCAGATCGTATCACTCATTCAGAGGAAAATGACTCAATATCACGAGAATAATTCTTGAGGGCTATAAATTATTACAATGAATTGGACTCCACTGGGTTCATTCGTATTTCCTCTCGAGTTGAGAGAAAAAATTCCCTGAGCTATTTCTATTTTCACCGATTCAATGCACCTCAGAGATAATTGCACGAAAACTATTTAAAAGACCATTGGCCCGAGAGAAATATTAACGTGTCGCGTGAATCATCAATTAAAAAATGTTTACGTATGAAAATAGTCGAGTTATTTTAACAAACCACGTCATAAGGGCATTAACACACCCTCACATAGTGAAACTGCTGTGTTTCAAATTCAAGACAGCCTCAAGGTACTCTCTAATTGGATCGTGCAGTCTAAAAAATTCCCGAGTGTACATTGGTGGCACAGAAACGGAATTCACTTTGAAGGGTTTAGAAAGAGAAAAACATTATCCCCAGTTTGTCAACCCCCGGGGAATCTTGTCGAGTCGCCGTGACGATTATTTGCCCCGAAAATCGATTTATCTCTGACGTAAATTCCGCGAGTTACCAATTTTTCTTTGACATTTCGCTACAGAATTATGATTAACGCTAAATAACGAAAAAACTCATGATAAAAAAAATGAGTAATTATTTTCTCATCTTTAAACAATTTCCCACCGATTTAAAATCACATAAATCCATTAGCTTTCACCGACAGGATATTCGAAAAGAGTTCCCCTGAAATAGTAAACCCCCATCTAAAAATATTCCACGGGGGAGTTCAATTGGTTGTCGGAAACATATCAAATAATAAAAATAACTGAGCCAGCGGCGCCATTCACGATTACGCGTTATCTCGTGGCAAATAGTCTCTAATATTAGAATATTTTCTCTCATTACTATTTCCTTTTGTATCCGGTGAAGAGATGAATGCATAAAACCGTGCAAATATTATTTCTCACTTTGAATTCTGGCCTCATGACCTTTGAGCTCTATCAAATTCAAATGTTACATCAACTTGACTTAGCCCAGGTACAGAGAATAATTCAGGATGTTTATAGTGTAAACTTTGCACTGCGGAACGATGGGATGAGGTGAAACGGGTGTTCAATGAATTGAGTAATCAAATTCAGGGAATAGTTGGCACGAGTTTCAGAAGTGAATGCCATTGATTTCACGCACTCGATTATTTTCTTTCTTCAGCAATTCTCTCCTCATTTGTCCATCCGTATATTTTTTACTTAAATCCTCCCCTTGTCTATTTACATAATATCCTTGCTTACTCGAGCGTATCGAAGACAGTGGAGTGTGTCAAGGAAACATCTGATAATTAATTCCAAGTCGTTCCTCCATGGGGCGAGGATCATCGACCCCATTCCCGATTCTAATCTCATTCGAAAAACTATTTTGAGGAAAACTTTGGATTTCATTAAAAAGCCTTCACACTTCTCTACACATGAGGGACTGACCCTTTCACGAAAATTACTCCTTCGCCTCTAGCCTTTGGCATTTATGGTGGTCCTTTGTGACTGCTATTGTGAATTGTGAAACGGTCCCTTTTTCTTTCTACTCCAATAAAAAGTGAAACTGGCCCTCGTATTCACATCCATAAATGGACATGAATCCCCAAACTTTCAAAAGAAAAATCATTGCTTAATTACTCCAGCCCATTTCATCCCTCCTAAATTATCACATTGACCCACGAAAGTGACTGAAATGATCTGGCAAATAAATTCCACCTGGAAGTGGATGAATCTCCAAATAAGTCCTGAGACTGACGGAGTCCCCAAAAATCAGTGAAAAAAGTTAGAGGGGAAATCTGTGATCCTTGAAGAAATTCCCGTGTGGGTGTCCGCAAATGTACGAGTGAGACAGATTGAAATTGGTGAGATCGGATTGGTCGAGGCAGGTTGGGGGAACCCAACGGTATGGGCACGGGGTTGAGGGGGTCATGCTGGTTCGTGCTTTACCCCAAGCTTCAGTTGCCTCTCGGTACTCCAACCGACTCATTCGTCTGTGTCCAACAAATAAAACTCCATTACCTGATAAACCCATAAAATCCTCAAGATGTCTCCATCCATAATTAAATCCACACTTCACATATCATCCCTACCATCCTCATCATCTTCATCATCAATCCTGGGACCACACTGACATCTTCGTCTCGATGACAACCATTTGAAAACCAATTGACGATTATTTAACGATCAATCATTCAAGATTAAATGCCCACGCACTTGGACTGACCGTTAATTAATACTGATCAGCTAATGAAATCAGATAATGTGAGGAGTTCATCGTGATGGCAACAACGTACAACGATTCCTCATCGAAGAGACCAAACATTGATATTAAGGAGCTATTTATTGAAAGAATCCTTTGATATTTGAAGGTGTTTATTACATTATCGTGGCACAACGGCCTAGAGAGGACAACTGGAGATTATTGAACTGATGATTTTTATACTCAGATATTTTCGACCAATGTGTATCACAGTGGACCAACATTGAAGTATATTGTGGACCAAAAGCTAGACTATCTTAGTGACTTGGAATTGTGACAGTTGATGGAGCTATTGCCTGACGTCCTACGTACCTTGAGTAATGAGGAAGTAAACTAGAGGAATTTAGTGCAGTGAGCTTTGACCGCTGACATAACTCGTTAGGAGATAATCAACTGTGATTACTGATCAAGATGATGGATTGGGGAATCAGACGTAAGACTCTTTTATTTACCACACAGCTTTGAGAGTTTATTAGATCGATTGGTCTGCGATCGTGATGAAATATTATTTCAGTAATCAATGATGAGTTGTTGGAACTGGAGAAATCGAGTTTTAGAATTTTATTCGATGCTCTCTATTGATCTGAGAAATTATTTATTAGCAAAGGAAAGGATGATTGATTGGGGTAATTAACGTATGTCTGAGGATTTACAGAGAATCCAGTAGAAATATCGAAATTTTTGTTATAACATTTTTCACGGGTCTTTTCCCACTCTACAAATAATGTTATTTCACAAATCTCGGTATTTCTCTTAGATTCCAAGATAAACCTCGAACACGGAAGAATAAGAGAAAATCGATGTTCATTAGACGAATTTCTCATTGCAATTTATTTATTGATGGAATCTCTTCAAGCAGAGACGTGAATTGATTGCCCAATTAAATAAATTCAATTGGTTTTTTACGCTTTATCACTAATCGCCGGGAATCGAACTTGAATTCGTATTTTTCTTTGGGGATTGATAATTGAGGATTTCTCAAAAATTCGGAATGATGTAGTGACGAGTGGTAATTGACAGACGTAGACACCCCCTAATTAGACTAAAGTGCCTTCTGAATCATGTGACCAGACACGATCACGGGATCACTTACCTGTGAAGATGCAATATTGCCTCGCCATTCTGGTTTGAGCTCTGCTATCACAGCAAAACGTGTGAAAGGTTATCACGAGTGCTGTACATGCCTGCAGAAAGGTATATCCTCTGACCTACATTGTATCCAGTAGCTAACACTGTCAGAATCACATGTGCATTATTTTACATCAGCGATTCTGATATTCAAAATTGAAAAGGATCGATTTCACAAACAATACGTTGAAACTCACTGAGAAACTTTTACCAAATCAATCCAATTATTCCACCCGTTGGAATAATGAAACCACATTGATTTAACTCACAATGAAATAGCTCGACGTTGCCTAGAGATAGCAAGCCATTTGTCGAAAAAATAGTGGTTGTCGTAGCGGAAAAATTTGTCCAAACAAAAACTTTTGACAAGCTCCTCTGAACCTCGAGTTTACCACAATAGAAACCCTCCGAGCGATAGGAAATTACATCTTGCAACTTCGAGAGCAGAGGGTATCTCCTAGCAACTCCAATTCATTTCGAAAGTGAATTCTCAAAAGAATTTTTTTCACGAATATCTTCTGCATTAACTGATTGAAATTCTTTTGTTAAAAGATAGATAGATATTGAAATGAGCAATGGGTCATCCATTGATATGCCGTTTGCCGTCCAATAGTTTGACGGATCAGCTCATGATTTTTTATCGCTGAAGCAAATAATGGAGATTATCGTACTCTGGAGAAATCTAATAAATTTTCCTGGAATCGCTGGGCTCCGCCCTGAGTTGATTGATCATCATTCGGACACTCCACTGACCTAGAAGACAAAGTGATAATTCCCTGAGGTGTATTCTAATGATTGTTTGTCCATCATCAAACATAAATCAGCAAGTCTCGCCCTTGGGCCATCGAATCCTGACTATTTCACTTACTACCAGGTGTTTGACTTCTAGGGGAGGGAATAATGAATGAAAACGCCCGCTACATCGTAGATACCGAAGAGATGCCTAGAATCGATAGGCCGAACGTGCGCCGTGCTTGTTGCTCGTGGTAGCGTCCTCGATTTAAAAGTCATGTGCGCTCTCATTTTCTAAAAATAAATCATGTCGAGGGGTATTTGGTGGCATTTTTTTGGGACGAATTAGTTGGTTTCGTCAGGAGTCACGTGCGGATATTTATCTGATCTCTGGTGGGTGATTCCTTTCACCTGGTGATGGGTTTGATGGTCTTGATGGTATCAGTTAAGGTGCTTCCGTTTTTAAAATCATTTCCCCATTTCAGTCTCATTTCGGTGAATACTTGATGAACTATTGGACTTCTGGACTAATGACACTTGTCATTTGTCCAGGACTGTGCGATAACTGAAAAATTGATCGAAGAAATTTAGTCATGAGTTCTTGATTTAGTTTCAGGACTTTTTCTCGGCTTTCTCTTGATGGATTGAAATCGATTGAAATATCCACTGGAGTTTCTCCTATTCTGAATTTTCCGAGTCCTTCGATCGCTTTCGGAATTGTTTTTCTATTTCTACTCCTTCGTTTTGTTATTTATTTTCGGATAATCGGAGAATATCGGGGGT